TTAATAAGCAAAGGAAAGAAAATGGAGTAGGTCATCATACATAGGACTGTATTCAGTTAGTGGAGACACACCAAGCCTGAGTCCTGAGTCATCCACACACATTGGTCCTACTCTATTTCTGACATCGTCCTTCCACACTACACATTAAAATACAGATGACCACTGGATTTGGGGTGCCCATCCCCAGTTGGTACATCAACAATTCAACTGCTACACCTAAGACTCAGGGCACATCATGAAAAAGGGGGAGGAACTATTGTAAAAGACAGAGGACCAGAAAGTTTATTAGAAGATATGTCTTCTATATGTGAAAGGGGCTTACACACATGAAATTGTAACAATTTAGTCACTGTTCTACACAATGGCACTAGTTGGCATTTCAATGTCATAAAATGAGGAGCTGCAGGCAATTAATGGCTGCTAAGAGGATTAATTAGCTTTCTCCATGGATGAGCCCCTGGTAAGTTATGTAAGCCCTAAATATAGATACGTATGAGCACCACTAAATGAAATCCACAGGCTGTATGTATATACATATATTTGTATATATGAACATATATATGTAACAATCTAAAGAACAAGTCATAAATTTGAGGGGGAGTGGAAGCAGGAGAGGTATTGGGTAGATAAGGGGAGATAGAAATTATGTTAATGTAACACTTACGTATGAAATTCTTACGAAATAAAATTAAAGTTCTAAAAAATAAAATGTATATTCTCACAATAATTTAATAAAGTATATGTTTTAGTCATTTTAATTATGTACACATAAATTCATATTGAAATTCAATAGTAAGCTTACAAAATTTATTTCATCTATAAATCTTACATCTTACTCCATAACTGAAGGAAGTCAGGGCAGAAACTCAAGGCAGGAACCTAGAAGCAGGAACTGAAGCAGAGGCCAAGAACCAGTGTTCACTGCTCCTTGGTTTACTCTCCGTAGCTTGCTTGGCCTATTTTTTTGTACCATCCAAGACCGCTTGTCTATGAATTACACTGCCCACAAAGGGATGAGCCCTCTCCCATCAATCATTAATCAAGAAAACACCCCACAGGTTTGCTTACAGACCAATCCATAAGCATATAAATTAGATTCAATGATTTTACTAATAATATTAATGACCTTCAATGAAGGCAAAATATGATTAACTACTTGCCAAAATGGTTACCTATATAGTTAAAATCAGAAGATACTGTCCTAATACCTATTCTAATATCTAATCAGATATCTCTGTTCTAATAGATAGCGTCTTCTATTTGTATTAAAACATTCTCATGTTGGAAAAATAACTTGTTATTTACTAAATCTATTATTTTCATAACTTATGCTAGATTCCTTATTTTGATGTGCTATCTTAATAAACTGTCTTGTACATTCAAATTCATCTTGGCTATTGTTTATTTTATATATATTTTTTTTATTGAGAAAAGGAGAAAAAAAAAACAAGTTTTCACCTCCTCCCAGCCTCCCATTTCCCTCTCCCTCCTCCCACCCTACGCCCCCTCCTCCCACCTTTCTCCCCCTCCCCCCACTCCTTTCCCCCTCCCTCTCCAGTCCAAAGAGCAGTCAGGGTTTTCTGCCCTGTGGTAAGACCTAGGACCTCCCACCTCCGTCCATATCTAGGAAGGTGAACATCGAAACTGGCTAGGTTCCCACAAAGCCATCACATTAGGTAGGATCAAACCCCCGTGCCATTGTCCTTTGCGTCTCATCAGCCCTCATTGTTTGCCATGTTCAGAGAGTCCAGTTTTATCCCATGCTTTTTCAGACACAGTCCAAGAGATGCCCTATCATATGACAAAAGCATTTGTTCAACTATGTTCATAGCAGTATTATTTGTAATAGCCAGAACAACCTAGATGCCCTTCAATGGAAGAATGGATGAAGAAAGTATGGAATATCTACACATTAGAGTACTACGCTGCGGTAAAAAACAATGACTTCTCGAATTTTGCATGCAAATGGATGGAAATAGAAAACACTATCCTGAGTGAGGTATCCCAGACCCAAAAAGATGAACATGGGATGTACTCACTCATAATTGGTTTCTAGCCATAAATAAGGGTCACGGAGTCTACAATAGGTGAATCTAAAGAAGCTAAGTAAGAAGGTGAACCCAAGGAAAAACATATAGTTATCCTCTTGGCTAAGGGAAGTAGACAAAATTGCCGGGGAGAAAATTGGGATCTTGGGGGTGGGGTGGGATGGGGGTAAGGGGAGATGGGGAGAGAAAAGTTAGAAGGGAAGGAGGTCAGGCCTTGGGAAAACAGGAGGATTGGGATAAAGGAAGGTTGGACAGGGGAGCACGGAACCACAATTCTTAGTTAAGGGAGCCACTTTAGGGTTGGCAAGAGACCTGACCCTAGAGGGGCTCCCAGGTGCCCAAGCTGAGATCCCCAGTTAGTTCCTTGGCTATTGTTAAAATAAAATATACATCATGATATTTGTGTCACTAATTGGGAATTGCTCCACTAACTATCACAACACTGGTAGTGATTCTTTAGGAAAATTTTTCTTTCCTGTTCCTGTGTCCTCAAGTTCTACTGACCTAGAAGTTTTGGTTCTGAACAGGGGAGTCCTTCTGGGAGGAGACAAAGCAAACATTCCATTGACCTGGATGTTCAGATTTCCCATGGGTCTCTTTGAGTTTCTGATATTCTGAAGTCAATTGGGTAAGCAAAGAGTAACAGGGTTAGGATATTGATCCAGATTACCAAATACTGAGATTGAACCAATGGTTTGTGCAGAGGAACTGAAGAGGAATTCAAGATTCGATACAAGGGGCTCAAGGCTATCTATGCTGCATAACATTTACTAATATTCAATGGAGTTTTAAATTTATATATCTCAGAGTACACAAGAGGAACAAAGAAACTCTGCAAAAGTTACAGAACATTTTTTATCACTATTGCCAGATCTGCTCAGGAGACTGAAGGTCTCATGGCGACTGGGGGCTGATTGGCGAGCATACTTCAAATATTAAACTATATTGCTAAGGCTGGGAGAGAAATATCTTGCCAGTGCCATTCCTTTGGCTGACAGACACATTACTCCCAGGGGAGTCAACAAAGTTCTATCAAAACACAGTTTGCACAGCTGGATAGTGTGAAAAAATCTATTATATGAATCAAATGCTACAGGGGGAAGTTGGATTGCTTCTCTCACATGGAGATAAGGAAGATCATGTCAGGAGTGCTCCAGATTCTTAAGACTATCTCTTGGTGTTATCATGTACTGTGTTTAAAGTCAACAGGAAACTACAACAACCCAATCCAGGCAAGATAACAAAAGGCCCAGATTATTTTTGTTTGTTTTTTACATTCTTTTTATTATCATTATTATTGAGCTCTACATTTATCTCTGCTCCCCTCCCTGCCTGGGATGGGGTTGGGAAGGCCCAGATTCTTAATGAAGGTAAGAGTCACTGCTCTAGGTAAAAACCAAGACCTGCTGAGGTATTTCCTAAGGGTGGAAGAAAAACAGAATGAGTAATAGCAAAGATGGTTAAAACTACTAGCTGAGGTAGTTTGACCATTTGCAGAAGTGTAGATTATTATATTTCCTGTCTTTCCTCAGCAATTTTTAGTGTTATCTACTATGAGGTGGCCTTTTAAAAATAATCAGTGTAAGATCAGTGTAAATGTGATACTTAGAATATGTGTCTGATACACGAGAATCAAGCAAATAAAAATTCTTGAAAATGGCAAGAGAATTTTCAACTTCTAACTGGCAGCTGTTGATTGGCATGATTAATAAGGTAGCAATTGTCACACAGACACACATAGCAGCTGTCTTTAAAAACGTAAACATTAACGGACAACTTAACCCTTGTGAGCCATTCTAGAGAATGAAAGTTCTGGGCACTGACATGTGCATAATATAATGTGACTATTGCAATGTTAGGTTTGTTTGACGATAAACTCAGGTGCCTCTCAGTGTCCTGTGATTGTGTGCATTTAAGCTATATCCAATGGTAAATTGAGAGCCTGGGCACCAGTGACATGCACCTGTAATCCTTAATACATTGAGTTTCAGAGCTTGAATAACAATCTAGAAGAGAAAGGAGTAGAATTTATAAGGTGCAGCTTCAGCTTCATTGTAGAAGTATCAACTAATTTAAGTTCTTTCCCAAGACAGAACTCCGCATGGTGATCACAGTTCAGTGACTCAGTCATTGGGTACCAATTCTTTGTCAATTTTGGACCTTGTTTTAAGTGCAAGTAAAGCATCCCGGCTTACTGTGGACACTGGCCAGAACTTCCACTGTGTGTTTGATGCTTCATTCTATTTTTCATTCCCTTAGTGCATCAGTATCTTCGACACTCAGACATGTCCTTAAAGTATGTGTTGATATTGTCTACTGTTGCTTCCTTATTCCTGGTCTATTAGAATAAGCACCCCCCCCACACACACACACAGAAAGAGAGAGAAACTAAGAGAGAGAGAGAGAGAGAGAGACTCAGAGAGAGAGACAGAGAGACAGAGAGAGAGAGACAGAGAGAGAGAGAGAGAGAGAGAGAGAGGTTTACAGGGACTGGAACACGTTCTTAGCGTGGCCAGAGCGTTGAAAGCTGAAATTTAGTCTTAGTCGTTCAGGCAGGGAGCATTTAACAAGGGATCCTCATCACTAAGGCAGTGAATGGAGGAGACCCGAAGAGGTAATGTAAAGTGACAGACGCAGCCGCACCCTAGACTGACTCAGGTTCCTACAATCATGCCTACTTCCTCCGGTTTAAGGGAAGAAAGCTGCCAAAACCCACAACTATCTAAAGCCACAGAACAGGAAGGTTCCCGGTTCCCAAGAGCACATGCCAACACCGGCTTTGCTCTAAAGATGATTGTGTGGCAGAAGCACAGGCTGGGCAAAGCGGACTCCCTTTACACTTTGGCCCATCCGTGGCCCTCGTCATCATCGAGAGCACTGGGATCAGTTTGATCCTCGGCAGCCCTGGAGAAGCTTTGGGGGAGACGAGTGTATCCACGAGTGCGTGTGCGTGAGGAGGAGAGCAAAGACGTGATTACTTCAGAATTTATTTAAGGGCCGGTGGAAACCACTGCAGCAGCTTCCAGGGGAAGCCCTTGTTCCAAAGGAAGAGGAGGTGGAGGCTGCCAAGGAGGAGGAGGGGAGGAGACACAAAAAGGAGGAGTAGCAACCGCTTGCATGAGACAAGGATGCTCTAGCATCCTCACCCATTCCCAGCAGGTTGGTTCTGTCGGCCAACTGATGCAAGCAGAGGAGTTGCAGAGGAGCTGGGAGGAGAACACTGGTGCCGGGGGGTGGGGGTGGAAGGCGGTCCGGGGGTGAGGCGGTGTGTGTGTGTGTGTGTGTGTGTGTGTGTGTGTGTGTGTGTGTGTGCTTCCTTTCCCAGAAAATAAGCGTCTCAAAGTGACAGGATACACCCTAGGACAGAAGTAGGCTGGGTGCCCAAAGAAGACCTGTCCTGCTTCTAGCATCCCTGGGGACTCACTTCCTTTTAACCATCAAACTCCCAGCAATTACTATAAACTCCTTAGTGACTCCCCGTGGGGTATTGGGTGGAGAATTTCCTTCCCAGAAGGGTACTTCCCATACTTCACCCCGAAGTTCGTGTTTGAATGGATGCTTCTTCACCCGCTGGGTGGCCCGGGAGACCAAGGGGAGCAGCTGTGCTAGGTTAAGTTTCTGAAAGTCAGATCCAGTCCCGGATTACCAGCTCTCCGCCCCGGGGCTCCTGCTGCAAGCTCAGGCTGCTGCTACTGCTGGGCGGCAAAGGGGCCGCGGCTGCTTTAAGAACCGCCTCCCCCTCTCTTCCCTTTGACAATGGTCTGAACCGAGCTCTGCTTCCCAAAGCAAAATTTGTAATATGCCATTTTTCCGATGGACCCTTTTCCTTTTGGCTGCTGACGGAGCCACGGGAAGATGCCGAGTGGCTGCCAGGCTACGGAGTCGGGGCACGTTCCAGGAGAACGCTGGGGCTCGCGAGTGTCTAAGCAGCCTTTCTCTTCCCGTTGCTAGGGAAATGGTCCAGGACTGCTGGGTGTGAGCCTCACCTCTCCTCCAGCCGAGACTGCGGTTGTCAGTGATCCATTGAAGAAACAGGACCTGATATAAGAGACATTAGGTACAGAAACTGTATTCGAGTTGCATGGTTTCTCTTCCGCTTCATTTTTCCCCCTTTTTTGATCACCTCTCCAGCCCCACCCCGCCCCCAGGGAAGAGGAGATACAAAGTCTTCCTTATGGGTTACTGTTAGTTACCTTTGCTTTCTACCTATCTTCTCCATCCCCGATTTCTCTGCCTCCTGCCTAGCCGCCTCTCTCCTGGGGCAGATAGATGAACAATTTTAGTGTGGAAATTATGAAGTCAACTTCTTTCGGGGTGGTGGGGGTGTGGCTGAAGAGTAACTTGTCCAGCAGTGTGGGGTGAGCTCGCTCTTTGGCCATCTGAACAGGCACTAGGGTAAGGCAAGTGAAAACGCTTCCATTGGAGGTGGTAGGAATTTTTCCCGAGGACAGGGGATTTCAAAGAGTTAAAGAGGAGGAGGAATATTCGTGTAATGTAATCAGACAATGGCTAGGCTCTCTCTTACTAAATTACTCCTTGCGGGTTAACAGAGATGGAGCTGAGAGGGTTTTGAAGACTGAACCTTTGCCGAAGAAACTTACTACAGAGGATGACTACTTCTTTGCCTGCGGTCATGTATAAATTATAGCGATACAATTAAATGAAGTCATTGACCTACAGAAATAAAAGTCTTTTGGAATATTCTTGTCTGAATAGGTATAGCTAATAAGAACATATATTACTAAGGAACACATAAGATTTCAAAAGCCTTGCTGAATGACTACACTGGGCATTCAAAACTTTTATTTTGGAATCTGAGAGATTTAGAAGACAGTCAAGGTTATAGGCTGACAGAATGGGAGTTGTTTTTCGTGGTATAAAATTATTCGTGCTAAATTTAAGCACCGAGATAATTAAACCAATCAGGGTTATTATTTTTTTCTAACTCTCTTAAAAATAAAATTTGCATTGCCTGAAACTGGGTCCTGGAACCTTCAGAAGTTTAGTGATCTAGTCATCTATATCTAGATGAGGCTAATAAAATTGTATTTCACATTGACTTAAGGGAGGGCTGATGAAAATACCTCAACAAACTGTGTGTTCTGACTCATTTCTTAGGGATGGTGTAATGTTTGCAATTTTAGTTCCAAAGAAATGACTGTAAAAACAAAATGTGATATATATATATACATATATATATACATATGTATATATGTATATATATGTATATATATATATATGGGTGTAATACACTAGATGCTGGATGACCATATCTTTCTGCACCATGTTCCAGATATTCATTTTACTAAATTTTCTTCATAGGTTTTTGATTATTCCCAGTACACTCAAGCTGTGTGGCTGTGCATTTAAAAAACTGTTACGCTATATTTTGAGCTTATATCAGAATTTGAGGTCTAACGTAATAACTAACCTGGCCAATGAAAGTAGTTTTGGAATATGTAGACTTTTTTTTTCATTGGATTTGGAGGAGATTTGCTTATTTAGACTGACTTAGGGAAAAGGTAGCATGCATTCATCGTATTTTCTAAGTAATTTTGAAGACTTTGAATTTTATGAATTAGATTTGGAGAGTTCAGAAGTGTCTGCTAGAATTACAGCTATAGGCCTAGTAGCAAGAGTTTTAATGTACAATATAATTTCTGTAAGGATAAATGGTGATCAGTTTGCGATAGAGAACATGTTTGGATTTTTGTAATAATCTTTTATATATTTTATGTGTTTTTTGTCAGAGTACATAATGGGAACTTTATACATTTTATAGGCAAGTTTTTATTGTATTTATTTTATAAAGAAAATTTATAAACTGATTATCATCCTTACTCTGTGGAAGGGAAGATGAAGTTTTGAAAGGGAACCCAACTTGCTCCACTTCACATGCTTCAGGAGTTGGAAGAAACTGAGTTGTTCAAAGTGTAGAATAGATAGACTAAAGCTTCTCATGAGAGTGTCTTTTGGATGATTAAATCCATGACCACCTTTTCCTCTGATCTGAAAATCCCAAGCTTGTGACTGTCCAATGTCTCCCGGTAATTTAAGAGTTTGAGGATATGAAGTATGCTTTATTTGAGTAATGTATATGCTTAGAGTTACGAAGACAGTTATAGCCTCCTTGGAAATTAAAGTTGTTAGTACTAACTTTTCTCTTACAATGGTATGATAAAAAGAAGCACATAGGCTCGCAGTCGAGTCTCTCAGGACGTCACCATGGTTGCGTGTGTGAATGACATGCATAGCAGGTGAACTAACCCTTTTCAGTGAGCCAATGTGTTGAAAAGTTTTTGCTTGGTTTTCAATTAGCGTAAAGAGAATTTGTAGCATTTCAAGGAGGAGGGGTATATTTTTGACTTTTGGGATAGGTCATGGATGAAAATCAAAATGATAAAAGCAGAAAGTGTACAGTAAAGAGCAAATGGTAGTGGCAAATGCTTAAGTCTATGCGGGTGTCCATGTAGTGACAATCTATATATCTGCTCTGCAACTTGTTTTGGGGTTAAAAATGAAGTAAATGAGTCAAGTTTCTGTCTTCAGAAAATAATAACTCAGCCTTTTAGGTGATGGACTCAGTTTCAAAGCATTTTTAGTTATTTTAGAAATTTCCAATTTTTCCTTTTTTTTAAAAAATCTAGATAACTTATCATAAAATGACTTCCTTTCATTGTTCTTAAAGTTTCCATCCATTTCCAGTGAGCCATGACCAAATAGTTCACAAATAATTAAGTTTTGCTCCATAACGATGAAATTTACAGGAAGACTCACACAAAAAGTAATTAAATATTGAACCATTAAATCTTGACATTTTATTTCAAAATATCATCATAAATAGTTTCCCTAAGGATATATATGTGGACAGAAAAATGAATTGACCTTTCATGCGAAGGCTTTGGGACATGCAACCAAACTGGGGTTTCCTCACACCATGCTTTCAGCAAAATCAGGCTCTCTAGTAGCTTCTGGCCATCACTCAGCAATGGTAATTGAGTTGAGTTAGACATTCACACACATACAGACTCAGAGAGGGAGAGAGAGAGACAGAGACAGAGAGACAGAGACAGAGAGACAGACAGACAGATACAGAGAGAGAGAGAGAGAGAGAGAGAGAGAGAATGAAAAGGGAAATGAGATAGTTTCTGATTTTTAAAGATGCCACATGTGACAGGACAATGTCACATGCTAACGTCAGTGTCATCTGCTTTAAATCATAAATTGATTAATTATGAACAATTTCGAAGAGAATTCAGTCCCTTTATTCCATGACTGAGAGTTTGTGATTAGCAGCTGTGATGTGAAGTGTCTGCATTTGGTAATGTGATTCACTGCGATCTGTTTCGTGGAATATTTGAAGGAGTGTTAGTTTGTAATTGTCTGGATGGAAACCAGACAATGATTATAAGAGGAATGCTAAGTGTAATTAGCAGTATAATAATCAAGACAAATTCATGTATCTCAGACTAACTCTAGAGTTTATGTCTAATTCAATCTGAGTCATTTATCAGTCTGTACACAATTCTGAAAAAGAGAAGATGAAGATAAATAAAAATATCACATCAGAAGGATTAGTTGTGAGGAAAACTGTTGAGAAGCCAGAAAATAACAGTTTATTACCTATAGTAGCCCATTGTTTGGAATTTTCTGATGTAAATGGTGAATATTAGGTCACTTATCTATCCTTCATTGAAAAAAATGTATAATTTCTACTCTTTGGAGCACAAGGATGTATTGTCTTTTGACAAGAAAGGTACAGTTATGTTTATTGTAAGATATTTTTAACTTACAGAGGTGGAGAGGAATGGGATGAGTGGTTATTCAAATGATGTGTTTCTGTAAATCAAATTATGAGTGATAAATCATGCAAAAGAAAATGGAAAGCATTGAAAACAGGTTAAGGATTGTACATGAGAAATCTATTGATTGTCATGACGGGTGAAACCATGGAGGTTGCAGACAGTAAATAGGTTGTATTCCACTGACATCCACACCCTCCTCTGGATTTGACTGGAGTCAGGAGATAGGGGAAAGAGGTTAATGACCTGTGAAGGCTTTAGTGAGATGAAAGCATTATTGAAAACAATTTGTTTACTAAAAATTTCCCTTTATGTCCTTCAAGCAATGATGTGCGAAGTGATGCCCACGATCAATGAGGACACCCCAATGAGCCAGCGGGGGTCCCAGAGCAGTGGCTCCGATTCAGACTCCCATTTTGAGCAATTGATGGTCAATATGCTGGATGAAAGGGACCGTCTATTAGACACACTTCGAGAGACCCAGGAAAGCCTCTCACTTGCCCAGCAAAGACTCCAGGATGTCATCTATGACAGAGATTCCCTGCAGAGGCAGCTGAATTCAGCCCTACCTCAGGTATGCTTCAGTGACAAGGGTTTTCCTGTCAAACTGAAAAAGAGAAGCTCTTAATAATGTTTACTTCTTCTTCATTCTTATCGCTAGTTTTCTATGGGATATATCATATGTGTTTTGGATTAAAACTCATAATAAAGTATTAGTGTATATCCAAATTTGCCTTACAAAAAGTTACAGTATACTGGTGTGTGTGAACATGCACGTGTGTGTGTATGTTTGTGTGTGTGTGTGTGTGTGTGTATGCAAAGAATGAAAGAATTAGTCACTGCCTGGACTTTTGTTCATTGAAAATTTATTTCTATGTTTTGATGGGATAGAAAACCACTTCGTTGTCAGCTATAATATAAGGGTAATAGATAATCTCATCCTCAAATGTATAACCTTTAAACACCTCATGACCTTTAAAATATTTATTTTCAGTTTTCATCTTGTGGTCTATCTGTCTGTCTTTAGAAAGGGAGGCAGTCTGGGAATTCACTCTAAAATATGTTTAATTTACCTATATTCAAAAATACACAGCACTTGACTAAATTAAATTTATATAGTATCTTTTCTGAAAAGTTTTCAAAGCAGTTTCTATTTAGTTTCAAAATATTTTGGAAATTGCTAACCTTAGTCGTTCACACCTGTAATTCCAGTACTTGAAGAAAGAGGACCGAGTGTTCAAGGCCAGCTGTGTTACATACAGTCTCCGTAACAAAACTCTTTCAGAAATTAAAAAAAGAATAAATAAAGACAGAAGTTAGAAAAGGTCAAGTTGCAGACAGCTCTTTCAAATTAATGTTGTCAGTCATTTTTACATCTGTTCCTGTCAATTTTTAATATTATAGAAATAAAAAAATCCAAAGATATTTATTTGTTTGCGGCGTTAACGGTAAGGGTCATTCACCTATTGAGGAGTTTCACGATTATACTGCATTTGGTAGGAAAAAATGCACATAATATGAATGACTTTTCTTGTATACTTTGTTTTTTCAAGATGGGATTACTCTGTGTAGCCTTGGCTGTTGTAGAACTCACTCTGTTGTAGATCAGGATGACCTGGAACTCTCAGAGATCAGCCTGCCTCTCTTTCCCCAGATACACCATCACCTAACATTTTACATAATCTGCTGCAATTGAATTAAAAGTTTGCTTTAAATATTACTTTTAAGTTTTTAAATTTGGAAAAATAAGATAGCATTTTTTTTTCGGGGGGAGGGGTTGATTTTCTCCAAAAAGTGCTATCTTGTCACATGTATCCTTCTGCTACATGAGGTGAAGAAAACTTTGACGCCCCCACTCCCATGGTATTGTGACTTTCTGTGTCACGCTGAGGTATCTGTCTCTCTCAGAATGGGTCGGATCACACGTTGTCTGATCCCACAAGGTAATCCCAGACCCCTATAAATGATTCCTGTCCTAAACGTACACAAGTTCAGTCTGTAAAGAGAACTAAGCTTTTAAGTGGCTCTCATGTGTTGAAAACACTGGTTTATTTCAGCACCTGGAATACGGTGGCAAATTCCCGAAAGCAGCTACCCATTCTTCACCTGGAATGATTGATTTTTTTTTTCTGAAAGAGATTTCAGTATTGACAGCTGTTCGCCATAAAGTGATTTCTCAAACTATCCCCTTTCTTACTCTTGGAGAAGACTGTCTCAGTTGGTCACAGTGTTTGTCAATCAATGTCCTACATCAAATCATGTCTTCCTTACCTGTGTCACCTAAGATGATGATTTTGTTTTCATGATATTGTTTCATTAAAGAGGTCCATTGCCCTTTCTGCTTATACTGGGAATAAGAGTAAACAAACACTTTTAGCGATTCTAGATAACTAAAACATTGAGATTATAATATCAATTAATTTATATTTTATTTTACATTATACCATGTTCAATTTGTTATTACACCATTTTTAGTCTAGTTTTACTTTTTTCCCCTATGTGTACGTGTGTGTGTGTGTGTGTGTGTGTGTGTGTGTTTGTGTAACTGTGAGTGTGCAAGCCCAAGATTGTCTTCGGGAGCCTCGTTCTACAGCTTTTCGTCTTACTTATCGAGATATAGTCTCTTTCACTTGAACTTAGGGTTAGCATATGTGGCTAGTCTGGCTTGCTGGATAGCCTCGAGCAACGCTGTTTTTCCTTTCTAAGCACTGGAGGTACAGACATGATGCCAAACGACATAAAACTCATATGTTCAATCCTCATGCTTGCTGCTTCTCTGCCAAACATTAACTGATGAACAGCCTCCTCGGTCCTAGGCTTGCTGTCTTGTGGAGGTTAGAATTTTCTGCTTGTATTTAATGTGAATATTTAAGCACACACACACACATTTCTGAGGAGAACACTATAAATAATCCCACTTCATGAAAATTGATCTCTATGGACTCATCATTAAAAGATCTAGTTTTGCTACATACATTCAATAAAATACCCATTTTCAGGATATATTTGTTAGGAATTGTGGGTAGGGATCGTGATCGTGAACTATTGTGTGTTATAGCCATATTTTATAATACTTAACATTAAATAAATTGATCTGTAACCACAGTACTTGGACATACTGATTGTACTCTCAGTTTTCTAGTATGAATATTCTAGAATTCTCGTAATATGTACTATTAGGAGTGTATATTTTATGCAAGTAGTAAATTGCTTCTCCTTAATTGGTATGTTTTAGTTTTTGTGGCTATTTGAAAGCAGTGTATTGTTGGTGACATTTACATTTTACAGGGAAATGAAAGGAGAAAGTGGCTACCATAAATATGGGGTTTGAGGCAGAAATAAATAAAGCCTATAAAACTGAAAACTGCTATAGTAACATAAAAATGAAATCATTTCAGCAAGCAGAACTGGAAATTGACGCAAACTTTACGATACAGGTATTGTACCGTGACTGCACAAGGGTTTGGGGCACTGTAGGCATTGCGGCTCAGTTTTAGTTACTCCGGCTCCTCTGGTATCTCAAGGGAGAAATGCAGCCATATTTCAACAATCTTAACTATGCAAATATCCACCTTGTAGTATATGCCATTGCGCTTTGGAGTGTATCAGTGTTTAAAGACAGCTGATAGTTTCACTTCGTTCCACATCCCACCCTGGCGTTCCTAGCTATATACCCACGCACCTGCCCTACTAATGCACAGATCCATTTTACCGTTCAATAGAAATTCTCAGAAAAGCCCTCCACTCTCAATCATCCTCTGCCTCCTACTCTCCATTCAGTGGTGTAGCAGGAATTCTAAATGTTCTTAATAATAATACTAAAAACCCAGGGTCAGATATTAGGGGGTAAAGGCTGGAAGACCAGAGAAGCAGAGCTGCCAGCCACTAGTTCTTACCTCTACGAAATCCTCAGACCACATGGGGTATCCCATCTCTACAAGTCCTCAGGCAGATTGCCTTGAGCTCCTGTCTCCTCCTGCCTTATATTCTTCTCTCCACTCAGACACATCCCTTCCTCTTTCCACCTCCCAAGGGTTGGGATTAAAGGCATGTGACTCTTAAGAACCGGGATTGAAGGTGTGAGCCACCAACACCTGGTCTGTTCCCCCTTTGAGACTGAATCAATCTAGTTTAATCCAGGGCGGCCTCGAACTCAAATAGAATTGTCTGCCTCTGTCCCCTGAGTGCTAGGATTAAAGGCCACTGCCTGGCCTCTATGGCTCACTCCACATTTTGATCCTCAGATAAGTTTTATTTGTTACAGCACACACAAAGTATCACCACACAATTATGCTCTAGCTTCCTATACAAAACCTAAGCATCCTTATAGAGGATTCTTGCTTCCTCATCCCTGATCCTCTTCATCAGCGCAGACATAGTGTTTTGATGCTTGACTAAGACTCAGATCTCTCGTTTCTTTTCTACACCTGGCTCTAAATTTCTAAGCCATGTCTCCTAAGATTTCCCATTTGATAAAAGTGTCATAGCATATCCTTGAAAAAAATCCTGACCTATCTGTATGTCAGCAACAAACTCCTTGTCTTTCTAGGGATTTTTTAAAATTTGCTGTCTTAGTTGGTGTTACTTGCTTTAATGAAACACCTGACCAAAAACAATATGTAGAACAAAGGGTTTGTTTTGTTCATAGTTCCATGTAATAATAGTTCATCATCAAAAGGAGTGACGTCTAACTAAACCTTTGTCTCTTACAGGAATTCATTCTGAAACCTAAGTAATTTCCCAGTTTACTTTCTTTTGTCATTTTCCATACGAAAAAAAAGTTTTCTTTGTGTCCCTGCTTTCTAAGCTAAGCTTTACGACATCAGAATTAAAACATTTTTTTTAATTTTACATACCAATTCCAGTTGCCTCTTCCTCCCCTTCACCCATTCCCCCCATCTTCTCCCCACTCCATTCCCATCCACTCCTCAGAGAGGGTGAGCCCTCCCATGGGGAATCAACAAAGTCTGTCACATCACTTTAGGCTGGACCATTGAAGCAGGACCCTTCCCCCTTCTAGGCTGAGCAACGTATCCCTCCATTGGGGATAGACTCCAAAAAGCCAATTCATCCACTAGGAATAAATCCTGGTCCCACTGTTAGTGGTTCCACAAATCATCTAAGCCACACAACTGTCATCCGCATTCAGAGGGTCTAATTAGGTCCTCTGCAGGTTCCCCAGATGCCAGTCTGGAGTCAGTGAACTCCCACTACCTGGGATCAGCTGTTTCTGTGGGTTTCCCCATTATGGTCTTGATTCCTTTGCTCATATTATTGCTTCATGTCTTAATCCTTACCACCTTCCTAGAATATCAAAGAACTGATGTATTAATTATCTATTTCTTATTGGAAACAAGCACTACATACAGTATTTCAATAAAATTCAAATCTATGAGTTTGTGGAAGTCCGCTGATCTGAACTTCTATTGGCCAGTGTCAGATGGATTAACCCGTGCTACAAAAGTATTTAGTTAGCTGGATACCACTTCTTATTGGTGGTTTCTATTTGGCTTTGACTGTGCATACAGGAGAAACTCATCTCTGGGCTTGTCAAATCCTAGGACAGGCTGGTGC